GTGAAATAGCCCATTAAGAATCTCAATTTCCTCCAAGTCACAGCGGTGCTCAACTTGATTACATCGAAGTCAATCTTTCTTTCCCTTCTGAGCGAGACAAAAAAGCCCCCTCTGCCCTACACATGCATCTCGCCAAACAGGTAGAAAGTGACCATAACTCCACTAGGAAAATGAATTAAACGGGCAGATAAAACGTGTCGTTCGTATAGGAAGCCACAAGCTCACAACATTCTGGAAGATGTAGCTCAGCTAAACATACATAATACTAGTAGAAAAGAACAGGTAGGAATAGTTACCAAAATAATGGATTCGGGTTTTGGCTTTGCCATCTGTTAGATTATATATACAAGTTCACACGCCTTTCCCTTCTTCCAGATTTGTTTAAGACTTGGAAGCATCAGCTGCATGACCTGGCGACATTATTGTAACTTTGTAATTAAGTACCAGCTATATGTGGAAAGCATGGCAGTCACGTTCCTCTGAATTCTGAAATAATTTAAGCATAAGAAAATCCAATGTTGTTAATGAAAAAGTCAGCTATGGCGGTTCCTTATCCAACCTTCTCCCCTCCCAACAAGATTCTCTCGTGCATCCCCCTTTCATGCAAAATCTACCAGTTCAATGCTATCTTCAGACCAACAGCGGTAGTTTCATTTTAAAAATCCATTGCCATAATTATGTATAGGTTGTTCTGACATGCATAAATTATTGGTCACTTGCCATGTATTTCTCTAGCTTGGTAGGAAGATAAGATTGTACCCTGAGAACCATGGTTTGATTATAATGGACCATCAAAAATTGTTTACAAATTTGTTCATGGCACAGCTAAAGCTTATGCTTGTCAAATGATAAGGAAATTGAAAGTTGAGGTTTAGGTAGGAATTTGAGTTGGAATAGTTTGGATGAAATTCTTTGAATTTGGATTATTTTGTCCTTTTTTTTTTTACTTAATTCTTCTAATCACTTGCAATGTAGTGTTTTTTGTATGATAATATTTTAACCAAAATCTCAAACTTTCTAAAAACAAAGACATTGTCAAAAATGTTTTATATATCAGATCAATTCCACTCAATGTTGCTGCAATTAGCAGGGAAACTTGATGCTCCATGATGTCTTCAATCTCTCCGGCAAAATCCTACCTCATTCAGTTTGCCAACTCCACGCTGTAGATATATATCCTAAAGTACGCAGATAAGCAAGACCAAAATTTGCCATTCCTGATACAATTATTCTTCAATCAATAGTTCAGAAAGTGCAAATGCCTTTTTTCTTTTTCTGTCATGATACAAGTGCAAAAATGTCTTTCGATTAATGTAATTATGAATAGTTAAGCTAATAGAAAAACATAGTCAGCGGTTCTAGTCCAAATGCCTTTAACCTATCACCAGCCGTGGTTAAAACCAGTCCCTGATTAAGACAAGCAGGAAGAAAGAAACCAATAGCCGCAGAGCCTGTTGTTGCAATCCTGGTTTTATCAAGCAAAGGGACAGTAATGAAGCTTCTCGTTCTGATAAAATATGCCTTCCTGAAAGGAAACCAAACTTCTTGACAGGGAGATTTTTGGCAGTACATGATTACGAGAAGGGCAACCAAACATAGTTTAAGGCCACATATTATAGTCCACAACCACCAAAGACACTCCAGCAAGTGCTACGAGCCAACTAGGTGGACCAATCACTAGCATTCGGTCCACTTTTCCAAAAAGGCTAGTGGTTTGGCTAGTTGGACCACCAAACCCATTAGCCCTAATTGCTTCTTTTTTAAACTGATAAATGATTGTGACCGTGGCCTGTGGGTTGCAGCAGTGATCAGCGGAAGCTGTCCCTGGATGGACAAGTTGTATTGACCCCGAACACTAGCCTTGGTGTCTTCCATAATGCAAATTATTGGGAACCTAATTAGGTTAAGGTCACCCCCAGACCATTTATATTCCTAAGACATACATTCCCATGATGCTGCTATTTGGCAATTATATGAGACTGTTTAAGAGTCAACGTTTGAGGGTAATTGTGCCAACTCGACACATGTTTTTACCTGCTAATCTCTCATCTAAAATTACATAAAGCGATTTGTCAACAATAATCAATAAATAATTTGAATTTGGGGCTAACTATTTTTGTATATTTTATGTTCAATTACGTATTCAGCATAGCTTTTTGTGAAGTGAAATTTGTGTAGGGGGTAGACCTTGCAATTTGAGCCTCCCATTGCCGATTAGTAGATCCGGGGATGACCATGTTGACTTATCTTAATCTTTCAAAAAAGGAATGACATAAAAAAATAGAGCAGAATTCAACATTGTCTCAATGAAATGAGTTTACTTTGATTTGGGTCAACCCAACTGATGATTCGTCAAGGCAATATTCAATACCTTAACAATAGCCAGTTGGTTTGAAACGCGCAGTCCCTCACCCAAGGTCCAGCCGCAGGTCCAAAACATTTTTTATTACCAAGTTGATTTATCCAACCATAGTTTTACTGAATAAGGAATTACTATATATATATAACAGATGGGATCATGAGATCAGTTTCACTCTTGCTACTTGGTAAGGTAATTAATTTAGTGTTGGGAGAGGAAACCAACCAAATCCAAGCCCATTGATTTCTTTCCCACTCGCTGTTAATTGACATTGATCACGAACTAACGGTAACGATAAAAGGGTTCCTTTCTTTTTTCACAAAAAAAAAAAAACACAACTTGAGTTTAATTTTCTTTTTCAAATTTCATCTCACTCATTAAAAAGTACTGCTCTAACCGAACACTCTTCAAAATTATTATATGAAATCACAATGCTTTAAAATGCTTTTAAACAATTTATAAAAATTATAATAAATTTTTATTTTTAATAAATAAATTTTTATAATTAATTATTGATTAACAATTATTAATCAAAACATTATTGGTCATTTTTATATTATGTGGTGCTAACATAATGTTGACTTGGAGTGTAAAAATGCCACATATTATCATACTACATTAGCATTTTATGTCATCATTCACTATAGCATATTAACATTCCATGCTAACAACACATGATATAAAATAACAAGTGACATTTTAACAAATAATAATTAGTTAACTGAATTTTAAAAAAAACGTTAATTGAATTTATTTAACTCAAAATATAGGTACAAAAATTTAATTTAACATAATCAATGAATAACAATTTATTAAAATTTTTTGAATATTTCAAAAACTTTTTTTGATATTATATCTTATATAAAATGTTGGTGCAAATGAGATTTAGATGAAATTAAAAAAATCGACAAAATTGATTTCAATGCGAACCTTTCAATAGACGTTATCTTTAAAACTTATTTCACCTTTACGACTTGGTATGTAAAAGGAAAATTATGCAAATAATCTTAAAGATACAATTAAATCAACGTATAATTTCATTTTTTATACTTTACAAGAGTAAACCGTTAGATGCATTGAAGGGTTTATAAAATTCTTTGACTTTAGAACTTACTTTTTGTAATAAATAAATAAAAAAGAATTTAAATTGCTTTGATAGATGATGAAAACTCAAGTGGTTATGTTTATTCTCATAACATAACTCTTTTCTTACTTTTTATTTTTTTTGCTTTGTTTTATTTATTTTTTTTATGTATGAAAATGATTGGTAGTAAGTTTTTTATATACGTTTGCAGATGTGTCTTCTCAATGACACAATTCTTTTATTAGGGTATCTTTTTATCTTAAAGATATTTTTACATTTTGTAAGACATAATTTCAAATAAATGTCTTATTTCAATAATTATTTTATAAAAAGATAACTATATATTTCATAAATCATATTCTTTGAACTATAATATGAAAAATTATCTTTATAACTTTTGCATTTTGAACTATACTATTTTTTTAATTGTCTCATAATTTTTAAATTTAGAAATATTTTTTCCAAATTTCACTTATTCAAGAGATATATCTATTCACATCAAAAACCTATCTATAATCCAATAATCAAATTGTACAACATAACTTTTCATTTTAAAAATATATTAATATAAATTAATATTTTCATCAAATATATTTAAAATCATTATAATAATCATCAAATGCAATATGTAATATAAAAATAATATTTTAAATTACACTTTAAAAAACATATTTAAAATAATGGTAAGCAAAATTGTTTTTCAAAGTATTTATTTTCAAGCAATCGCATCCTAAAAAATGCAAATAAATTAGTTGTACATCCCTATCGTCCTCCATTTTGTTTCTGGCTAAATTCAGCCTTATTATGCACGTGAAAAAAAAAAAGTGGGGTGAGGTACTGTAATTAACCGTACAGTAGGGAAACTTCATAACCGAAGTGCAAAAGCTTGAATGTTTCAGATTTATCCGGACCGTCCAAAAACAAATAGGGCCCAATGATGCAGCCACGAAGGTCTTGGTGCCGTTACAACCGCGTCGTCAGATTTTCCACATGCAAAAGGTCTATGACAAACTTGTCATTTACTGCAACAAGTGAGAGTAATTTTGTCCATTAAGCAAAAATACCTAACTCCGTTATTCCGAAGGAACACGAGAAGCTACCGCTTCCTAGCCAGCAAGTAGGAACACAGACCGAGAAAGTAAACCGTTAACATATTCCTCGTCGGCGGAACTACTTTAATTCCCAGATTACCCCCCAAGGTAATCCACAACGACATCTATATCCTCTTGCGTTTCCTCATTGAAAGTCAAACTTGACAAGCTGGTGGAAGGTACGAGAAGGATGAATCGGTCATTTTCTACGAAGAAACGGCTTCGGCAGAGCCGTTCGAAGGAGAAAAGCTGAAAGGGTGACGCGTCGACGAAAAAACTAGAGAAACTTTCACGTGTCCGTCAAGCCAAAGCGGCTTTGCGTGTGTGATTGTCACTGATGGCCTTCCCCCAAAAAATCGAAAGGCTCTAAGAGTTACACGTGTCAACAAACCGGACCGCTTTTTTTACCCGTTGCTATTTACCGGTTCGTCCCAATTTCTGACCTTATAAATAACATTTCAAGCACGCCAGCTCCAAGTTTGATCATTTTTTACTAACCCAAAAGAAAAAAAAAAAGAAAGAAAGAAAAAATCAATTCACCTGTAAACCGCGAGAAAGAAAAACAGAAGACATCTAAATCGTTGTTGTTTGAGCTTGGAAGATTTTAATTCTTCTGCGGCGATTTTGTGTTTGGTTATGGTAATTGTATGAAAAAAGGGAAAAGATGGTAGCTGAAGCTGAGGTTGTTTGTCAACAGAGCGTGCCGGTGTTGGACGTTCAGTATTTTGGTAAAGGAAGTAATATCGAGGAGATTGATGGAATCGTTGCGATTTCGTCGCCGGTTTCTTCGCCAAAGTTCGGACAAGTTCTTGTTGCTGAGTCGGTTTCCGCCGATTTATCTACCTCTCAACTGGTTAGTCTTTTCTTCTCCCCCTTTTTATGTTTTTGAAGAACGTGACTTTTGATGAGGGGTTCACTCCCAACTAAATATCTTAATAAGGTTGGCAAAAGGTTTAAGAATAAATATGTTGGATTTTTTTTCCTCCAATTGTTTTTTCCTTTGGAAGTTTAGGCTGAAATAATTAAGTAATTTCTTTTCTATTTATGGATAAGTTTTAGAGGAAATATATTCATAGCTTACATCTCTGGGATCCATAGATTTCATGGTTTGAACAAAGATGATCAGATTGTTAAATTTATAAGCTTGGTGACTGGAATTTTGCATAATTGAAGATTTGAGAAGGTTGTATCTACCCATGTTTAGTTGTATCTAGGGAATTAAAAAAATGAAATTTGTCTAGCTTTGGCTACAGCTAATTGGAGAGTCCTTTAGGTGCTACTAAAATTAGTTTGCTATGATTCCAATCTCAATTTAAGAGATAAGTTGCTTTGTAGTATATAACCTTTGAAGAGAAAAGTTATCTATCTTGTTTCCTATTTCAGGATGTGAAATCTCTTGAAAAAGACCCAGATCCAACTATCGAATCTGCTGTCCTGCAATTTGTCCCGAGCATCCGTTCAGGTAGTTTTGCTGACATTGGACCTCGGAGATACATGGAAGATGAGCATATTAGAATAGATGATCTATCATCACATTTGGGATCCCTTTTCAAGTTTCCTAACCCTAGTGCTTTTTATGGGGTAATTACTGTTTTGGCTAATTTTTCTACTGCCTTAAATGATGTAGTTTGATTTATAACTAATTTGGGTTGCGTGTCGTTTCTAGGTGTTTGATGGTCATGGAGGACCCGAAGCAGCAGCATATATAAGGAAAAATGCATTTAGATTCTTTTTTGAAGATGTCAGTTTTCCTCAGACATGTGAAGTTGATGATGTTTTCTTAGAAGGGGTTGAGAACTCTCTGCGGAAATCGTTTCTTCTTGCTGACCTTGCTCTTGCGGATGATTGTACTGTGAATAGCTCTTCTGGAACAACAGCACTTACTGCTCTGATATTTGGAAGGTATCTTTATGCTTTAGAGCCTTGATTGCTATATATTTGCTTCTGTTATTTTGAGTGTTGTTGTCAGCTTTTAAATCTCTGACTGACTGGTTTGTCTGTACTATAGGCTTCTAATGGTGGCGAATGCTGGTGATTGCCGAGCTGTACTCTGCCGGAAAGGGGAGGCAATAGATATGTCTGAAGACCACAGGCCTATTTATCCATCAGAACGGAGGAGAGTAGAAGAGCTGGGTGGGTTTATTGATGATGGGTATCTCAATGGTGTTCTATCAGTTTCCCGAGCCTTGGGGGATTGGGACATGAAGTTTCCTAAAGGTTCTTCTTCACCTCTCATTGCAGAGCCTGAGTTCCGACAGGTGGTTCTGACAGAGGATGATGAGTTCCTTATCATTGGGTGTGATGGAATTTGGGATGTTATGTCAAGTCAGCATGCAGTTGGCCTTGTTCGTAGAGGGTTGCGGCGGCATGATGACCCTGAGCAGTGTGCTAGAGACCTTGTCATGGAGGCCTTACGTCGCAACACATTTGATAATCTCACTGTGATTGTTGTATGCTTCACTGCACCTGATCACAGGGAGCAGCCATCTCCTCGGCAAAGAAGAATGAGGTGTTGTAGCCTCTCTGCAGAGGCCCTGTGTAGCTTGAGGAGTTTGTTGGATGGCAATGCCACTCGCTGAATGTAAATACAATTTTTAAATAATTCTCTTGTTCAATAGGGGATATTGTACTGTTTCTGGCTGCTTCAGGTAGAGCTAAAAAAAGCAGCTAGCAGTTTTGCAGGGGTTGGCTGTGGTATATTTATGGTGGGTTATGGGCGGATGTACATAGAGGATGGTGGTGTAGGGATGGTCCGATATTTTATTGCGTGCTCAAGTCATTTATGGATTCTTTTACTCAAATCCAGGGTGGCTGCCCTTGTTAGTTCAATGTTCATTCCTGAGATGTACGTATATGTATTGTCAATAAAATTCCTAGTTTTCATTATTGTTAGTTCTTGGCTTTGTTACTTGGGCGGTAATGACAGCGGATGCTAGTCTTCAATCCACCTTGCCGCTATACGGCTGAGGCAAGTCCACGTTGTAGGAAACTTCCACTTTTTTTTTTGCCTTCCCTCTGAGAAAAATCTAGATTAGACGGAGGGCGGATATTTTTGGGAAGAAAAACTTATCCTTCAGATATTTTTGGTAAACGAAATTCATATACTTTTATCAAATTAAATATTGGAATACAAAGAGTTTGAGTTTATGTTTATCTTGATTTCCAGAGTAGAACTTTTTCTTGATTTTCCTTTTATCTTTTTCAATTGTTTCAAGGAAATGAAAAATATCATACAGTAACTGGAATATCTCCAAGCTTATTGGCAATTGGATTTTTTTTTTGGGATGGTCAACGTGGGATTTAAACTAATTCCTGCAACAGCTAGTGCCGCTGAGCTAAGCTTTGTCACATCGTGCCTTCCCTCCCCGAACTAATCATCAATAGATTCCGTGAGAGAAGTTGGGACAACACGCTCAAGTGGCCTTCAGCAAAGGATCCTACTAGGATCACAACTTGTCGTTTGGTTGGTAGTAGCGACGGCATGGATGTTGCGCATGTCTTGGAAATGGTTATCGCCTGCAGTGAGCTGATGTCATTCTTGAGCAAGAAACAAAAGCAACCAGTTATGATTAGTTTTTTCAGTTCTACTTTCGGTTTTATGACCGAAAAAGATGCCCTTTTTGTCTTTGCCATCAATTCTTGGTCTTAGGTCCGCAGACACAATTGTATTACAAGGGAAAAGCGTAATCTACTAAACTATGTATAATTCCTTCCAGTAAGAGAAGAAAACAGACGAAATTTTTGACAAAATGAAATAAGTTTGCAGCAATACATTGCTTTGGGTGATTTGAGAAAGACAGAAAGTCGACTTTCGATTCAACTCAACCCCCTAAAATGGCGAATTTAGAAAAATGTTTTTGTTGTTTCGCAATTTTAAGACATGGCTTATGATTTTTTTTTTTTTAAAAAAAGAGGTACCAAAATCTTATAGAAACCAGGAAAAACCTTCCTGTGAAACAATGCCAACAGGCTTCAGCTTTTGGAGAGTGAAACTCAGGCCAAAAGATGATGAAAAACCAGACACACAAAACAAAGGAGAAACCTTGTACAAACGGGATCAGGAACTCAGTCCTGAATGCCAGCTCAACCATGGCTTATGATTTTATATATCCATCAATATCTCTATCTGTTCATCCTCGTAAGTAGCATTTCTAGAAGAAGATGGGCAGCAACACCAAAGATATCAACACACACAGCAAAATAATGTCTACCAAGCTGAGATATAATAGATTGTTTTTTCATGGCAGACTTCTCTCAAACTTCGAAAACCTTTCTAGAGCCCGTTGCATTTGTTTCCCTGAATCAAACATATCAACTCCACCATTCACCAGAGCCCAAGCCCTTTTTCTTCCTTAAATTTTAATAGAAGCAAATTCACAATGCTGTATTTGTAATCATGCCAACCCAAGCTAATCTTTCAGTTTAGGGTCACATGATTTCTCCAATGTTAAATCACCATTGATCTTTTTTATGCGTCTGGGGCCAAAAGCTTCTATTTCCAGATCTAAAAACCTTATATCCAGAACAGTCCTGCCATTAGGGAATGCAGGTCATTCAAGGCAGACTGTTTCCATTGTATCCAAATCATCTACAAACCAAAAGTCCATAGCAATAGAAGCATTGGACATCAACCATGAACATCAATTACATAAACATTTGGATTAGGAAATTGCGAAGCAAGTTAACAGTCTTTTTTCTAATAAGCACAAGAAAACAAATTCTGCTATAGTATTAAAGTACACAATCTCCATACACATCATCTGTGTAGTATACTTTCTTTCATTTCTTGCAATTCACAACAGTAAAGTAGCTGCAATATTTGTGAGAAAAAGTAAAAATCGCTAAAATCCACCAACAAGTAATACCAACATAGCAAAGGTTATACATGCTAAGATGTGGACTCTGTTATTATCAATCAGGGTTTTGCAGAATGTTAACACATTAGATCTCATCAATGAAAATTGATGCATCTATTTTATTCACGTCACCCCCAACCCCTCCAAGAAAAAAATGTTGAAGAGAATAATGAAAAACTATAAGGGACCTTTCATTATCCAACACAATTTATATTGCAATTGAATAGAGGAGAATTATATATCTTGAGAGAAACATCCAGATCAAAGATTGGTGGCAATAATTAGCACATGTCTGACCACCCAGGTGAGATGATTATCTTGTTGAGCCTGAGCTTTTAGCAAAATTTTCAAACCGATCCAAACCACGCTTGAGTAAATTTTCAAGAAAAGGCTGAAGTGCCTGAATGAATTTAACAGAGAGAAAATGATTGGTTACTTCATCTTAGCTCAAATGTGAAGAATCATTTCTCAGGAAATATCAAAATGAGGCATTATCTTTTTGCCACACACCAAGTTAAACATTAGCAATATTTCTTTTTTCCCAAGGTAAGAAATTTAAGAGTGTTCGTCTCTGCATTAACATTTTCATTGCGATAAGAATACTTACAGATGCCACCGGAGCTAAAAGTTGAGGAACTTCATATGAAACTGTTAGCTGGAAAGAAAAATTGCAACATGTGAGCACAATTCGAAGTGATAACCGATAAAATCGCATTAACTAACTACTCTATGGTTTCCCAAATTTCTCAAATAAGGCTGGAGGAAAAAATGTTGGGAACACAAAGAACATTTTTCCATTTGTGTCATCATTTCTTTCTGTACAACTACTTTGCTCCTGCCATTATGTAAAGACAAGAAAAATTGCAATTTATGAAATTGGTCACACAACTACAACATCAATCAAACAGGTTGCATACACTTATAGATTAATCTAACTGTTGATAATAAGGAACAAAATTCAAATATAACACAGTTCATGACTTTCAAGGAAACAAGAACAATAAAGCAGCAAAGCAGCAAATCAAAATATTGTACAGAGCAGCCTTACTTCCATTACACATGATGAGGGACCTTTTGGATAAAATCGAACAACACCTCTGCCATGTAGAAAATCAGTTTGTTAAGATTCTACCATCAAGTTGAAACAAATAAATAATGGTTTATTTAATGGAATGTGATAATGTAGAAATAAAGAAAATGTTTGATTACACGAAACCAAGAGAAGTTCATGGTCAAGCACACAATACTAAATGTAGTCATCATACATATAAAACAGAAAAGCGTTGTCAGTGCAAATGAATGTGCTAAACCAATGTGGGAGTGGCAAAGCTTAGTGGATGTAAGAGCTTTGATGACGGTTCTAAAAATCTGCATTCATCCATTCTCCCTTGATTTGGTTAGTTGTGTTTCAGAGCATACTTGAAGGAACAGCAGGTCGAAATCGAAAAGGAAATGCTATATTGATATAACTTTATTGACCAATCTAGAAGGTTGCAGATTTATAATACTACCAAATTTCTATTGGAGTGACATTGAAATTTCTATCATAGAGATATCCTAAAGCTTTTTCTTTGATGCTTCCAAACTTCATCCTTCATACTTTCATTGCATCATTTCCATAATATTTCAGGAATATGATAGAAATTTCTAATGCTACACACTCTCAAGTCGACACCCAACTTTGCGATATATAGCCTTAATGGATATGCAAGAGTTTCCCAGAACAATCTTCTATAATGCCAGATGGTTAGTTTATTAATCTTTGGCCATCAACAAGTCAGATTAAAAGCAAACTCACAAACTGTCCCAAAAGAATTGCAAGTTTAGTTATTTAGGTTTGCTTTGATTTGTCAATGACAATTTCTGCTACTCAGTCCGTTTCTGCTTGCCTGTTAGGAAGTCCTTCCAGAGATCTCCAGTGAATTTTCTGATTTGGGACGGGCTGCAATAGCAAATAAAGACCAGTTAAATTGGAATTTATATATATATATATATATAAATTGGAAGGATAATGAATAATCACAATTCAAAGGAGGGCCAAAAATAAAAAATAAAGAAAGGGATAATATCATGATCCTTACTTGCATATTTCTAGCAAGCCAAGAATATTCAAGATCACGACCAAATGCAGTATATTTCAACGACCACCTCGACAAGTTAGGCTTGTCTTCCAATATCTAATTAAAAAACAAATAATCAAGCATCAATCTCTCCAATGAAATTGTCACTGTCTGTCATACATTTATACTACCGTTTAACAATAAAACGTGGATAATCTTAAAAAAAAACAATAAAACGTGGACAGTCCCCTGTAGCATATACTTACCTTGACAGATGAAATGAAAGGCATCCAATTGGGAATTGCTTCACGATCAGAGTAACATTTGTAAGCCACTGAAGCAGGTACATCAATTTCCGTTTTTACCCTGAGGTCATTCACACAAAAATTCAGAGTCAACATATTTCTTGTCTACAGAAAGAACGAGAAGGGAAGATTCCAAAACTTACGTGCAATCCTGCCATTCCATGACAGGAGAAAAGGGCCTGGAGGAAGTGAAAAAGGAGGCCTTCTTAAAGGACCCATATGGGATTCTGATGAAGATACTGCTGAGAGACGGTGGCTTCAAAGAAGAGATTCTGCAACTGGGTGTGGCAGTAAGCAGGATTGCATTTCTGTACGTTGGGGAGACGTGACTGAGCCTGGGAGAGTTTGGGCTGGAAATAAAGGAAATTGCAGCGGAAGACATAGCTCCAATATTTTTGCTGCAGAAAACAAAGATAGAAGGCGACTGGACAACAAAATCCACAAGCGCGGCCAGCACCAAAATTTTCTGCTCTCTGCCGTAATAATTTTATCTTATTTTATTTTTCTAAAGTTGGAATGCTGCGAGTGACAGACAAGGACCAATTTTATAAAAAAACGGACGAATAGCGTTCGATCGGCCAGTGGTCTCAAAATCAAATACGATTAGGTAAAATGATTTGATTTAATTGATTTATTAAATTAATTAATTTAAAAATATTTATTTATTTATTTAAATTTTAAATTTTTAAATCAATTCATTTAAAAAATAAATTAATTTTTTAAATAATAATATATTTTTTATATTAAATATATAATATTTTTTATATGTATTAGAAAAACTGATATAAACTTAATTAATAATAGACTTACAATATATTAGTTTATTATATAGATATATAAAAATCATAATTATAGTACTTTAATTTTAATTATATATATTTATTTATAAATTTATATTAATATATAATTACAAGTTATATATTTTAAATGATATAATTTATATATTAATATTATAATATGTGATAGTAAATAGCTTATATATTTATATGTTATAATTATTACATCTTAATAATGTTTCGTAATATAAAATATTATGAATATATATATATATATATATAATTATATAAATATTATATATATATTTAATTTATATGTAAGTATTACTATAACTTATAATAAACTTTATTTGTATGATTACACTTAATAATTTTATTAATTATCACTTTAGTTTATATAACATATTATTATAATTAGTTATTATTTATATAAACTTTGATATAAAACATTATAACATATAAATTGTGTTATTAATTTCATATATACATAATAAAGTGATAAATTATATATACATATGCTTAATTTATACATAAACATTATTATAACTTATAATAAACTTTATTCATATAATTGCACTTAATAATTTTATTCATTATCATCTTAATTT